GTTTAATATAATTGTGGGTTTTAAGATGGTTTATAAAATAGTCAAAGTAAAAAAAAACTTGCTCTGTATATAAGAAAAAGATGGGTGGAAGTTTTGTACATTACTGTACATTTGACCATAAATTACAGACTAATGAATGTGTGCAGTGTTTATGAAAACATTTTAAAAAATCCCAAACTTTAGATATGATTATGATACCCAACAGAGCTCTAACACATGTAAAATGTGGATTAAGGGCAGATGAAGACAGACTTGATGCCAGGCATTTTCTAAACAACTACAAGGACTACAAAAATTTATTACTTCCCATAATACTTCCTCAACRATTTACTGACTCTGAGCCTCCATAAATCACGGGCAGTTGGCTGCTTCTCCTCTTAACTTGAAGCAGACAAAAAGATTTATTTTATTTACAGGACCGGCCTGCAGGAACAGCTGCATGGGGCCAGTTGCTTTCAGGCTACAAAGGCTCGCCTGGGAGCTGCCAAAAAATGACCGCACGCTTGTACTTAAGGTCATGGAGCAGTTTAATTAGAGCAGTCGGGGGTTAAGCACCCTGTTTAATGGCACATTAACAAAAGCTATTTGATACAAGAAAAACATTCTTTTTCCTTGTCATTGTACACACGTAAGGGAGTTTAAATCGCTGACCTTCACGTAGCAACATCAGTCCTTCTAACCTTCAATTTAAGTCCCACCGTGGCTCTTACCCCATTCTCCTTTTTCCTGGCTTTTTCTTATCTTTTCTTACACACAGACACACATACCGACACACACACACAATCCTCCGTCTACTTGTACTTCAAAAGGCAGCTGTACTGCGGCAGTTATTGGTTCCTGTGTTTTGGCTGCTGTGCCCTGAGAGATTTAAAAGCTAAAGAACCAGTTGTGTTTTTATCAAAGCTTCTTCAGTCTGTCTGTCAGTCAGCCAGGGCTGCAGAGAGAATTCAAATAAAAAAGAAAGAATAACAAAGAACACCGCTAACCTAAGTTTGTGCAAAGCAATAAACTAAAGAAATAGATATATTTAAGGATTTTTTCCCCTTTTTTGTCTCCTAACAACTAGAAATCTATTTACTGGTGACCAGCTGAGCCATGATTGTGATGCTGCGTCTCCATCCAGTTTAGGGTTGTTGTTTTTTTTTTCATGATTGTTTTTCCCTGTTTTCTGTTTCCTATTCCCTTTTTTTATTTTTATTTAAATTTTTTTGTTGTTGTTGCTTTGGTTTTGTGTACCCCAGTTTTAGACCAGGCATAAAACACATTTTTACATATTTAAACAATGCATGATCATCTGCTAAAATAGAAATGATGTAGCGGAGAATGCTGTATGTTCTGCAGGAAATCTTCCATTGACCGTAGGAAGACTCTCCCTCTGTGTCATTTAATAATCAACAAAATCCATTTATAAGAAAAAGGAAGAAAAAAAGACTAAAACAAATCCATCAATCAGACAACCACCAAAATGAGTAATTCACTTATGCAATAATTTGATTTTTAATATAAGAAGTGCGGTTTGTGTTTTTTTTATCAAGTTATAAATGGGAAAACAAGGCATAATGGGTGTAAAATGAATTTATTTAACATTATTTGTGCTGTTTGTAAGTGTTTTTTCCCTCATGATGTAGTAAGGTGTAAATATGTGAAATCCAAATGTAATAATGACTTCCATTTGTTCTAATAAATCAGATTTTATCAGTTCAAAAATGGAAAAATAAACCAGATCAATGCAGAGAAAATGATGAGCTTGTACTGCTAATAACAATTAGCCTGATCAGTGCTAACTGTTAATAATCATATTTTCTAGCTGGAGCAGTCGTGTTGGATGTGTTGTCATTCAAAAATCCAAGTTCAGAAACAACAAAGTCAACAAAAAGCAGCATATAATTGAAACTGGAGTGTGGTAAAATTACATATTCATGAGCAATGCTCTGTATACAAAGTGGTGGGTTTTGTTTTGCAGCTGTTGTCCTGAGCTCGTCGGTGCGTGACTTGTGACACTCACCTTGTCAGCCATAATCATAGACGATCCTCCATGGACCCCGAGAACTGGAAGCTGTGTCTGAACAGACAGGAAGTCAAGGATCTGGGCTATGGCCTCCTGATCGGTGCCATCAGCAAAGACAAGGCCGTGGAGATGAGAGCGAGACAGAAGCTCACACACCTGTGGCCCAATGAGAACACGCTCATGTTTCAGTCAAACTCGTCTGGATGTCATAAACAGTAGTGCTGCAATGCGATGTCTTCTCACCTGCGTGATCACAGACTTGGGGTCAGTCTGGTTCATCTTCAGTGTGATGACGCTGACGTCAACAGTGTCCTCGGGGCGCCGAGGATGACGGAGCTCCTGGTCGGATACTGGACGCGTCTGGCCCAGTATCACCCCCACACTGAGCCCTGAAGGCTTCTGGGATGCCGCAGGCACCATGATTGAAGAGAGTAGGAGCAACATCCAGCCCACTACACCCATCATACCCTACAGAACACAGAAACACAAAAAATAAATTTAAGAACTGTCTCATGAACAATCTGTGGCTACCATTGTACTCTTGATTTAGTTCTAAAAAAAGCATTTGTTTTAACTGCTCGCTGCACAAGATGGAATGATGATGTTCCTGCTGAAATGTGCATGTTTGTCTATACCATCAGCAAAATATCTCATGAATCATTGATTTTAATGAAACTTTTGGAAAGTATCTGCTGAGTTGACATCTATAATTAATTAACTTATAGGATCAACATGAATTAAGTTGGTTGTCACAGCAAATAAATTTAATAAAACACAAAAAACAGTCACAACTCAGTTTTTTCAGATATTGAGATTAAATTTGATGTGTCAGTAGCTGAGATCCACCCCCAGAGTGCTGATTGACAGTACAAGGTCTATGTTGTAAACTTTGCCAGCAATTTGAATCAACTCTATATGTTTGTTAGTGAAATATCTCTAAAGCACTGAATGGATTTTAATGAAACTTGCAGAAAATAATCATTGACATTTACAACTTATTATCTTTTGGACTCAATCCAATTTAAGATGGTCACCGAAACCCACTGACTCTCAAAAAACATGACAATGGCTGGCTGTGACWTTTAATTTAATTTAATTTAATTTAATTTAATTTAATTTAATTTAATTTTATTTTATTTTATTTTATTTTATTTTATTTTATTTTATTTTATTTTGTTTTATTTTTTTTTCAAATACTGAGATAAAATTTGATGTGGTATTAGCTGAGACTCATCCTAAACACATGCTGTGAGCACAACACATACTGTATTTGTTTCTCGTAGTTTTTAATAAACATTTTAATTAGATACTCATCACTGAAAAATAATCAATTGCAATCCAAAGTTTCATGTTCTTGTTAAAAGATTGTCAGTTCTGACTTGGAAGAAAAAAAAAGAAATACATAAAGTGAACTCAGAGGTTGAAATTTGTGGTTCAAAGCCAACGTGTGACGTGACAGTGGGGCTGATAAAAAAATCAACATTTCAGGTTGATGCAAAACAGTTTTCTGTTAATGCTGAACGGACTGGAAGATGTTTTATTGAGCTGTCAGAAAAGTAACAAGACAAAACGTAATTATTCCTAATGTTCCCGGGACAGAAATATCAATTCACATTTTATATTTTCTTCTTTTTGTGACTATGACCCCGCTTATGTTTTTCTTTCATTGTATAAAGAATAATGAACAGTTTTGTGCTTTTCTCTGAAGAAATTGAGTCGCACCTTTTTTGAAACAACCCAAAGGTCTCCTTCATTTCACAGTAGACAGAAAACACATCAAACCGTCAGCATGTGTTGTGGATTCTAAACATGTCTTCAAAGCCTAGCAAAGACCCCCCCCCTCCAGGTTTTTCAAAGATTAGTTTGTATTTATCTTCAAGAAAAATAGTGCCTCAGTTACGTGACTTGAATTTAATTACTAGTGTGAGCACAAAATCCCCAATCAGAGCACATGAAGCAAGTGCAGGGAGAGGACCGTCCTCTTTCTGTCTTCTGCTCTTTAAATATTACTGAAGTCGGTGTCAGAAGGAGTGACCGTTAGGAGACCAGGGTTAAACCTAACTACTTCTGCTAAACCCCCTTATCAGGCTTCATAAGAGGCCCCAAATCTCTCTTCCAGTGTCTGCCTTCATTTGAACATAATCTGTGCCTGCAGGCAATGTGCACAGTAAAGTGCTAGCGATTAATGGATAAAATAACCCTGAAATAAATGGAATCTGATTTTACCTCATTTGTTGGGGTATGAAGGGAACGATTCCAAATGGCTAAAGGCACACAACTGTCTCCATCAATCAATAACATTTACTAAAATGAAGAAGGAAGAAAAAAAACGTCTTTCAGCTGCTCATCCCAAACTAAGTACCGGTACAATACAAGAAGAGACTGCGCTTCAGTTTTCAGTTTCTGCATACCTTTTTTCCTGTAGCGCGAGCGCATGCATCTAAAAGAGGCAGAGTAGAGGAAATGCAGTGTGAACTGCCCGGAGCTGAATGAGAGCTAATGAAACCATGATGTGAATGCTACGTTGCATCTCAGCCAATTTCTTGCACCATCACAGTCCAGCAGAGCTTGGAAAAAAAATAAAATAACTAACCCAGGAGGAAACCTCACATCTCCGAAATTAACTTACTGTCTCCAAATTTCTTAATCTCCACCCCTCTCTCGCTTCTCTGTGCAGCCCTACCTGCTAATCACCCTCATTCTCTTAATTTTTTTTTCCCTTTTATACTTTTCTTTGTTTAATCCTGCCAATCTGTCTTTCCAGCTGGGTAAAAGTGTGTATCTGATCCATGTCATCTCACACCCGGTTTAATCAGGCCAGTTAGTCAAGTCAGTACTTTTCATCATGCTTTTCTCTCTCTCTGCCCTGGTGCCCACAGACTAGCCTGCAGCTCCAGGAGCACTTAGCATACGCCGCTAAATCACACACAGCTACACTCCTGTCCCAGGGAATTAGTGTCAACTTCCACCAACAGGACAAGATAACACTTACTTTTTTTTTTTTAGGATTAGCATCACAGCTAACATAAGGAGCCAGCATGTGCCGGGTCACAGTTTGGGGAAAAGTGGTTAATGCATCCGAAAAAAATACAAAACCAAGTGTTTCCACAGTATGTAGAATTTGCATATGTGGTTAATGTCATACAGATTGCATTAAGAAGTGAGATTGAACTCCAAAAGGGACGTCATGAGGAGTAAGTTTTTCTTTTTATGCAAGAGGGATATTTAGGATGATGCATTTTCTGACAACACTCCCTAAAGTAGAGGTTCAGATCTTTGGGAGTGGGGTTCTGCGGAAGGAGTGTGGACAAATAATATCAAACTTGTTGTACATAGAGTGTTGAACAGCTTCCATTTGAAGAAACAGCTTTTATTTCTGACCAGATTGATGAGCTCATGGATAGTCTGAACAGCTCCAACTTCAAAGATTTCTTAGCAGTCCTACTTTACAAAACTTTACATCATCCTTATGCTTACATTACATAGTTATTTATATCAAATACTTTAAGTGTTTTGCACGTGCAAAAAGTAGCAACAGCTGTTAGACTTCTGGTGCAAGTTGGATCTTTTCTGACTAGAATATCATGATATTTCCTGCAGAATACTTGTGTAATACAAAGTTGATAAAAAGTGTTTATAAAAGAGCTTTCACATGGAACTGGTATGAAGTTACTGAGAATGTGGTTGTTTTAAGAGAAAGGAAAGTAGCAACTGGCTGTTCTAAATGCCATTTCATTCCAAGAATCCATCCCTCCATCCACCCATCCATCATTCTTCCTTTCAGGGTCACAGGGGTCTATCGTGCCTATACCCAGCAGTCACTGTGCTAGGGGTTAGGGGGATACACTGAACAGATCGCAAGTTTATCACAGAAAAGTTTCACTAAAGTCACTAGAAGTTGCTAAATGACATAATCGCCCAAACCAGTGTTTTTCAAAATGGGGGCACTAAGGGGAGGCATAAAAAAATGGAGGGAAGATGAGAAAAAAATGTGCAAAAATTAAAAAATAATAAATGTTTTAAATCATTGTCATAAAATATGTTGTTCAATAATTATTTTAAAATGTAATTTGTAATAATGTAATGACATGTTATTTAAGAGAGCTTGAGATAAATTTGTTTTCTTTTGTTCTGTTTTTATCGTCAAAAGTTTATTGAAAAATAGATGTTTCAGTGGGAATATATAGTGTTTAAAATATGTAAAAAAATGTAATAATTATTGAATAGTGAATAAAGGTAAGAAAAAAAAATTCTAAAAGTTGATGTTTCTTTGTATTTTTTGTAGCATTGTTTGTAGGTGTGCAAAGGAGGGTCCCAGGCCAGAAGTTTGCTGTTTGGGGGGTCACGGCATGAAAAAGTTTGGGAACATTGGCCTAAACTGCATAAATGGCCAGAAATAAAGTTACAAGAGAGACAAAAAGTAGCACTCAAAATTTGTTTAGAACTACAAAACTTTTGTTTGTTGAAGTTTTGTCCTTTTTTTTAATACAGATGGGTCCGGCACAAGTGACCAAAAAGAGCTGATTCAGCAGGGTTATTTTCTTTACAAAGCAAATTTTGCGTTTGCAATATACTTTTTTTAAAGCAGTGGCTTTGTGCATAATTGATTAATTTGCAGTCTGGACAAATAGGGGTGAAGGTCTGCACTCACTGCAGATGGAGGAGATTTCTGCTCAAAGACCGGGCCTCCACTGAACACTTTGTAACAACGCTATCACATCAGAGTCTCCAGGAATCTCCAAATACTCAAAGTCACTGGATTTATCATAAGTTGCCTTTTAAAAAAAATCACTTGAATGTTTTAAATAGTTTCTACAAAGTCACTAAGTTGGAAACACTGCAGCAGAAATCTGCTTTGGAACTGGTCTCATTAGCTTGGCTGTCCAATCAGAACTATATTTCTCCAAACTGTGGCCGTTCAAAAAGCTATGTACAACAGGAAAAGTTATCTTCTGATTTTCTGCCCATGCTTTGTCCTGCTCAGGGTTGTTAGAAGATGCTGCCTATTTCCAGCAATCAAGAGGCAGGGTAAAGCCTGCAGAAGTCACCAGCTGATCACATGGCTCGGCATGAGTTTCTACTGTGGGAGGAAACAAGAGTACCCAGAGAAAACCCACACATGCACAGGGAGAACTTCCCACAGAGAGGCCTCAGCTGAGATTCAGAGCAGAGGCCTCTTTTTCTTCAGAGCAACATTTTTACCCATAGCACTTTCATTTTAAATTAACTGAAAGCTTCTTAATACTTTTATTTTGACATAATTCAATGTAGCCTGAAAACAGCAAATTCAATTTGTCTGAACGTGTTCTAGTGTTTGTGGCTAAAAATTAAATCTAGATCTGTGAAATCGGTGTGTCCGTCAAAGCCAGAGACAACTCACCAAGTGCTCGAGTGGAAACATGCACTAAGAGGCCCTCAAACGGCTTCAGAGCCAGTTATTATTAATAGCATGCCTTTGAGCGCTTTGT